CATCATCATCATCATCATCATCATCATCATCATCATCATCATCATCATCATCAAAACAACCTTAACAATAACAAGCCTATGACGTCCCATTCCCAGGACTCTCTACTGCAGGGCATAGGACAGGACACCCTGAGGTATGTGTGTCATGGAGTGACGTCATGCGGTCACGTGGTTGTGCCACCTCTCCCTCCCTCCTCTTCTCTCCTCTCCTCCTCCTCCTTCTCTCTCTCTCTCTCTCTCTCTCTCTCTCTCTCTCTCCCCCCCCCTTTTCTCTCTCTGACCCTCGACCGTCACATGATTGTGTCAACTGTCTCTTCTCCTGACCACCAATGCCCCATATCTAGGTATAACCATAGACTCCATTTGTTGATTGTTGATGGATGTTCTGGTGTGGCTTGCTCCTTCTTTTTAATCCAAACATATGTCGTCATTATCTTTTCTTTTCTTTGTATGTTATTCTCTTGTTACACCTCAAATCTTCGTCATTTATGATATGACCTATTTGTGACGCAAGTGCTGTAATACTCTTACTCTGACTTATGTCTGTTTGTCTCTCTGTATCTCTGTCTGTCCCCCTTTCTCTCTCTTTATGCCTATGTCTGTCTCCTTTTCACTCTCCCTCTCCCTCTGACCTCTATCCCTCTCTCGCCTGAGGGCTTTCCGCACCTTTCCAGTGGAGAGCCTCCAGGCCGAGGCAAACATACAATCACTCACACTCAGACACACACAACTCTCACTATAATACGCAATTAAACAGAGCTCAACACCAGAGAACCCAGCACACAACTGCATTTTCAGAATAAACCGAGACACCACAAACAAATTCAAAAGCAACGAAAAACTCATCAAACCTTTCGGCCTCAGAGTCCTTGAGGACATAAAAAAACCCATACACTTTTCCATATGAAACACCCTAAAATTTCCAACATCCCTCCGTGGCACCTCACAGAGGCAAAAGTAGACTTACAGCTCTCCAAACACAACAAAGCTAGCACAAACGCCAAAACATTTAAAGCAGAATTTACCGAAAGAACAACAAACTTAATAAGTTAGTTTTTTTTTCGGTATAGAAAAATACCCCGGTGCGGAGCTAATCTTCATAGATCGCCCTATACCGGACTCCGCTGTGGACACCGCTGCCTATCTTCAAACAGTACACACCAGAGGAGACTCCATCCCGAAGCCTCTAAAATTTTCTTTGCGAAAGCCACTGTGGACTCCGTAAAAAATTCTCCTAACAAATCTTTCCCTATCCTATCTGACTGTCTGTCTTGCATTACCTCACTTACAAACTACACACTCTTACACCCATAAATAGTTAGGTTACAAGAAAAAATGCACGCTTTGAGTGAAACATGCCAAAATATCGTGTTCGCATGGCTACCTACCCTTGTGGGCATCCGAGGCTAAGAGAAGGTGGATCTCCTGGCGAAAGAATCCTTGTCTCTTCTGTTGGGATCAACGACAAACACTCTCCCACAGACTGACTTTAAAAATATGGTCAAAAACTAAAACTCCAGTCTGTTGGAGACACATTGGAAGAAACAAACCAACAACAAACTCCACAACATTAATAAATCAAAACTTGGTTCACGAAAACCTTCGAGCCTTTCCAGAAGTGACGAAGTCATTTTTACTCGATTACACATCGGACACACGTCCCTGAGTCATAAATGCCCCCTTCAGGGAGACGAGAAGCCCTTTTGTGTCGGATGCGACACATATTTTACCATTAGACACGTTTTAACAGAATGTCTAGACTTCGGAGAGACCCGCAGGAAATATTATAAATGCAAAAAAAAAAAATAATTAAAAAATACTAGATCTGTTTTGCGTCGTCGATCCTAACGGAATCCTTGATTTTATGAAAGCCAATGGCCTTTGCGATAAATTGTAAAAACAGCTTTTTAATTTTAAGCAGCTTATCAATTTTAAACTGTTATTTTACCTCAAGTTTTTAGCATTTTAAATCTGATTGTTGACCTAAGCTCATTTGTGCAGTGAACTGTTGTGAATGAAACCAACTTGTGTTTCGCGCTCTCATATGACCTTATGAAGTTGCGAGTGTCATAAAATTCTTACTAAAACTTCAGAAAAAACTCTCTCTTCCCCTCTCTCCATCCCTCTCTCCCTACAACCCCGTCTCCCTCCTCTCCTCTCCCTCTCTCCCTTTCTCCCTCTCTCTCCAAGTGACATTTTTAGTCCCAGCCTCCGCCGCCTCACACCCACCTCCTATGAGGCTGTCCGCGCCACCACCAGCCCAGGCAAGAAGGGAACCCGAGCCCCATACAGACATCGCGACCTCCGGCGCAAGTTCGAGTTCATTCTACACTCGGAGATCCAGAAGTCGGTGCACACTACCCCACTAGAGGAGATATCGGACATAGACAGGTACACACGAGCCTGCTAGAGGGGACATCGGACCTAGACAGGTACAAATGACCTCAGACATAGATAGGTACACACGTCACCACTAGAGGAGATCGGACATAGACAGGTACGGCCGATTTAAGCTTAGACAAGTACACATGACCTAAGACATAGACAGGTACAAACGACTTACGACATAGACAGGTACAAACGACCTCACTAGAGGAGATAATGGACAGACAGGTACACGCGACTTAAATAGATGCGATATCGGACATACCTATGACAAAGACAGGTACACATGACCAAAGACATAGACAGATACACACGAGCTGAGACATAGACAGGTACGTACGATCCCACTAAAGGTGATATCGGACGTAGACAGGTGCACACGATCAATGAAAGACATGTACACACGACCTACTACATAAACAGGTACACATGACCGAACACATAGACAGGTACGCACGACTTAAGATATAGACAAGTACACACGACATCACTAGGGATGTCAAACAGAGACAGTTACACAAGAACTAGGACATAGACATATATTCACGTCACACACATCACATATCCCATTCGTCTTTAAAATGTCAATGTGTGAACTGATTCATTTGTTGGGGCTTCTAATTGCAAACACGTTGAACCTCGATCGACACAATTTTACGGACACAATTTTATACTATTTGGGAGTCGGGCTTCCTCAATACGCCAGTCAGAGTCAACCCAGATGGAGTTTGATACAACGTGCCAGCAGACAGGCGGAGATACTCATTAAAGTAACTTGTCTGCTCGAGAATCGAACTCAACTCACTGGCGTGTGTGGTGTAACATTTAGGAGCTTTGCTGTCGCACGTAGATGAACCAAGTTCGGTTCCAATCCTAAGCAGGGAGACTTTTTATCGAGTATCTCGGTTTTTCTGATAGGATATTGTATCCTTCTCAGCCCGGGAGGGCCGGAAGCCCGCCTTCCAAAGGATGATCTAAATTGTGTTGAAAAGGGACGGGGAAGGGAAACAACTACATCTTTTAAAAAGATGAAGAGATGGACTGACGCCACACAATAAGCAGTCTCTGTACCAAAATGACCCAAGTGAGCCCGAAGA